TCTTATTTTCGACTGTTGACTTTTTTCTAGGAATTCTCTCTCTCTCTCTCTCTCTCTCTCTCTCTCTCTCTCTCTCTTTCTTTTTCTCTCTCTTTCTATCTTTATGAAATACAAAAATACATGTATATATGTGTGTATGTATGTATGTGTGTGAATGTATGTGTGTATGTATGTGTGTGAATGTATGTGTGTATGTGTGTGTGTGTGTGTGTGTGTGTGTGTGTGTTAAACTCTTATTGATTTTTGTATTTATTCAATTCGAATCCACACACACGTGCTTATGTTAAGCATTCGCTAATTAGTTTTGCTCTAAACAGTACTGAAATGTACTTTAAAAATTACAAAAAATTGTTTATTTTCCAATTGTAACACCGTGAAATACAATCAGAATTGTCTTGGTACCTGCATACAAATAACAAAACAACAACAACAATAACATTAATGACAGCAACGTTTAAACTTATAAAATCAATAATGATGCCACTAACGGCAACAACAACAACAACAAAGCAACGGTTGCAGCAACAATGCAACGGTCTCAGCAACAATTTATTCATGCGTTTAGGTACCGTCACGGCAGAAGTTAACGACGACAAAATTAATTAATATGCAGCAGCAAAGCTCATTGAAATGTTAATTCATGCAAATTTATGCAAATTCATTCAAATTTATGTCGAGTGAATGACAGCCTGTTAATGTTTATTTCTATAATTCCGGCTGCTGATGTTGCTGATGATGAAGATGACGATGACGACGACGACAACGAAGATGATGATGTTTGTTGTTGTGTTGCAGCAACCGTTATTGTCAACTCCTTATGTGTTGACGATGCTGCCAAAAAATAGCAAGAACATTTCTGAAGACGCCAACATCTGAAAATGTCGTTATATAATTGCTATGTTTCTATTGCACGATGCTAATTTTAAAAATGAATTTAACCTCCAACACAACAACAACAACAACAACAACAGAATGTACTGCAGTACTGGTCTCATGACCTATAACCCCAACAAGGTCGGGGGGTCAACGACCCTGAATGACTCCGTGTACCCGCCACCGACCAACTTCACTGTCGGCCAGCCCTACATGTCCTTCTCTACCGAGACTTCGGCATTTTATGCACCTATGGTAAGAAATTGTTGCGGGGTTTTGTTGCAGGGTTTTTGTTGTGTTGTTTTTGGTGTGTTGTTTTGTTGTGTTGTTTTTGGTGTGTTGTTTTGTTGTGTTGTTTTTGGTGTGTTGATGTTTTTTATGTATTTATTTTAGTCATATTCTTTTTTTCTTCATTAAATTTTTTTTTAAATATTATCATCACCATCGTCGTCAATATTATTTTCACTATCATCAACAACATTGTCTTCATTATCCCAGCCACCATCAACATCATCACCATCATCATTAATAATCATCATCAATCATCATCACCATTATCATCAATCATCATCAATACTATCATCGAAATCATCATCACCACCAATGTGAGAACGATCATAACCCAGTTGATAATTGCAGCAATTATAGAATCGATAAAGCGAGGTAGTTAACAAGTGATGTGCCGTCGTATTGATCGGTCGATTACGATTATATCAGATAAAATGCGATCCGATAGATGCACAACCGATACACACCTGATTCGGTTCGGTTCGACACATTCCGATACTAGACATATACATTATACAATACAATTTACGGTATATAGAAGAATTTACAATTTACGGTGTATAGAAGAATTCTCTTGATAGACATGAGTTAAAAAATTACCGACCTGTATCTAACCTTATGTTTTTGTCAAAGTTGGTTGAAAAAATTGTTTTATCACAATTTGCTTCTCATTTGAAAATTCAAATCTTCTGCCGGTTCACCAGTCGGGTTATCGTGTGTTTCACTCGACGGAAACGGCTTTAATTGATGTTTCGTCAAGGTTGTATTCATCAATGGACGAACAAAATGTGTCATTGCTTGCTCTCTTGGACATGAGCTCGGCGTTCGATTGCGTCGATCATGCAATACTTCTCAAAAAACTGAAGCAAACATTTGGACTATCGGGAGTCGTTCACAAGTGGTTCGTGTCGTACTTTGCTGGTCGTACTCAACAAATTTTATTCAAAACAAATTCGATGCTTTGTCATACGGTGTACCACAGGGTTCCGTCTTAGGTCCCATTCTCTTTTTGCTTTATACAGCAGATATCTACACAATAATTGAGTCGTACAATTTCAGGTTTCATGCATTTGCTGACGACATCCAAATAATAGCCAACTCCTCTCCCTCGTCGTTTGGTGATGTGGTCGATGATTTAGTATCGTGTTTATCAGCCATTGATGTTTGGATGATGGGGCACAGATTAAAGTTGAACCAATGCAAGACCCAGTTTTTGCCTGTGGGTACATGGCAACAAGTGAAAAGAGTGAGTATCAACACTATCGGAATAAAGGAATCTGTCATCGAATTTTGTGCGTCAGCACGAAATCTTGGATTTATTTTTGATACAAACATGACAATGCAATTGCACATAAAGTTGTTGTTGAAAGTATGTACTTACCAATTGAGAAAATTGAGACTCATCAAAGGATCTCTAAATATGCATACATTGCAATGTTTAATTCACTCGTTCATTCACTCGAGGATCGATTATTGCAACAGTTTATTCTACGGTTTACCCAAAAAGTATGTTGCACAGTTACAATTAATTCAAAATCGGGCTGCCAAGTTTTTAACTGGTGGTTCATATTTTGATCATGTTACTCCTATTCTCTTCAATCTTCATTGGTTGCCGTTCAACAAAGAATTGTCTACAAAATTGCCCTACTGGTGTATAAATGGATTAGCGCCGAAATATTTAATGGATCGAAGTGTTCCAAGAAATGCACCGTTACAGTGTCAGAAGTTACGGTCAAACGATTTAGATTTGTTAACAATTCGACAAACTCAGCTTGCTGTTGGTTGCAGAGATTTCGCTGTTATGGGACCGAAGATTTGGAACAGTTTGCCGGTTGACTTGCGAAATCGTGGGTTGCCAATTACTGAATTTTGAAGAAAGCTAAAGAACCATCTTTTCAGACAAACTTTTCATGATATGATTTGATTGAAGTGAAACATTTAATCAACTTTTGCATTAGCGCATTTAATCAACTTTTACATTGTTAGCGCCTTTGAGAACAATAAAGGGCGCTTTATATATAATTATATATATATATATATATATATATATATATATATATAATCCTATATAATACACTCTTGATCCGGCCTATATGAAACAATTTATATAGATTACGAGACGATTTGATTCATTTATCTACTCATTCATCTATCCATGCATCCGTCTATTCATTCATTCAATCATTCATATATGACATTCATTCATCTATTCATTCATTCATCCATCTATTCACGGACAGAACACCGATAATTTGGATACGTGGCGAACTCTGCCCCACCATACGACGTGGCCCTATGACACGACCATGACGTCATACCCCTATACACCGAGGTGAGGTTTTTTGGATGAATGATTAAATGAATGAACGAACGAACGAACGAACGAATACATAAATGAATGAATGATTATATAATTAAATTTTTATTATTTACGATTGCGTCATAAAAATATGTTTGGTATTTATTGACTTTATTATCATTAATGTTAAGTTATGGCAGTTTGGATGTCAGGAGAAAGAATGCGACGAGAGAATCAACCAGTACATTAAAGGTACTTGATGTTGTTTGTTTGTTTGTCTGTCTGTCTGTCTGTCTGTCTGTCTGTTTGTTTGTTTGTTTGTTTGTTTGTCTGCCTGTTTGTCTGCCTGTTTGTCTGCTTGTTTGTCTGTGTTTATTTTGTTTGATATACTTTTTTGTTTAGTATTTAGTAACAAGACAACATAATTATCTTGTTTAGTTTATGAAGTGAATACCTCATACCTTCTCATCTAACCACACACACACACACACACACACACACACACACACACACACACACACACACACGCACACACACACACACACACGCACACACACACGCACACACACGCACACACACACGCACGCACACACACACACATACACACATGCATGCATATAAAATGCATCATCCAAAAAGTCACAAAAAAACAATCTATAACTTAATCAGTATATACAGAAAAAAAACAACAGAGACGAAAACAATTTAACGCAGCTGAATGAAAACGAATTAAACTATAAAAAAAAAACCTCACTCCAGGCCTGGCTTTACGAGCACATAAAAAACCCCTACCCTACCAAAGGGGAGAAGATCATGCTGGCCATCATCACCAAGATGACCCTCACACAGGTTTTGATGATGATGTTGATGATGATGATGTCGATGATGATAGTAATGGTGATGGTAATAGTGATGATGAGGATGATGACAACCGTGATGATGCTGATGACAGCCGTGAGGAAACAGATTAACCAACATCCAACAAACCACACCAACTAACAACCAGCAAATAACCACACCAGCCACACAAACCACTCCAGTCACACTAACCACGCCAGCCACACTAACCACATTAACCACACCAGCCACACTAACCACACAAGCCACACCAGCCACACCAGCCACACCAACCACACCAACCACACCAGCCACACCAACCACACCAGTCACACCAGCCACGCCAGCCACACCAACCACACCAACCACACCAACCACACAGGTGTCGACGTGGTTCGCCAACGCCAGGAGACGCCTAAAAAAAGAAAACAAAATGCAGTGGTCGCCGAGGAATCGAACCGGCGACGACGATGACGACAAGTCTATCAACAGCGACAGCGACGACAACAACAACCACAACAGCCACAACAACAACAGCACATCAACAAACAACAACAGTAGCAGCAGCAACATATGTAGCAACAATACAAGTAGCAGTAGTATGTCCAACATAGGCAACATTAAGGACTATCGTATTAATAGTAGTGGTAGCAGCAGTAAAATTAATATAGGCAGTAGTAGTAGTAATAATAATAATAATAAT